GAGAGAGAGAGAGAGAGCGTGAGCAGGGGAGGGTCAGAGAGAGAGGGAGTCGTAGACTGAAACAGGCTCCAGGCTCTGAGCTGGCAGTCAGCACAGAGCCCGACGCGGGGCTCGAACCCACGAACCGCGAGTACATGACCTAAGCGAAAGTCGGATGCTTAACCGACTAAGCCACCCAGGCGCCCCAAAAATAAACATTTTTTTAAAAGTCACAACCTTGGAGTCAGTGGCACTATTCACATCATGACCTTGGACCAATTATTAAACCCCACCTGGTGCTACTTTGTGTTGTTGTGATAAAATACACACAACATACAATTTACCACTTTCATCACTTTGTAGTATACAGTTCGGTGGGATTAAACACACTCATGACGTGGCGTGGCACATCCCGTCCACCTCCACGATTCTTTTCTTCTTGTGAAATCAGACCTCCATCCCCATTAATGCTTCGTCCCCACCAACCCCCCTCAGCCCCCGTCACCCCCCCTCAGCCCCCTCACACCCCCTCAGCCCCCGTCACCCCCCCCTCGGCCCCCGTCACACCCCCAGCCCCTGGCCACCACTGTTGGACTTTCTATGACTTCGACTGTTCCTAAGTATCTCATGTAACTAGAATCAAACAGAATTCCTCTTTGTGCCACTGGCGTGTTTCACGGAGCATAAAGTCCTCAAGGCTCATCCGCGTGGTAGCAGGTGTCAGAACAGCTTAACCACCTGGAATCTGAACTCAAACAGCCCCAGCTCCCTTCACCCCTGCCCGCACTCTCTGCCGGGACAGTGGCAGCATTCTGCAGATACTGTCACACCGTGGGGTTGGGGGCGCGGAGAGCCGGCTTCTGGGGGAAGGGACGGTCCCCACCGCAAGGAAGAGCCAGGCCCCGGTGGCGAGAGGGCTGAGGCGGGGCCCCGGCCGCTCCCGCGTGGCCGGACAGGGGGCCTGAGACCGCCGTCTCCCGTGATTGGGTACCGCGCCCAGAGGGCACGTCCCCTCGGCCCGCGCGCGAGGCCGGCTGAGGTGCAGGTGGGGCATCCAGGTGCCCGCCGGGCCCCCTGAGCAGCCCCTGCTCCAGTCCTCACCACCGGCCCTCCCAGGGAGGCACTGGCACGGGGGCCAGAGCTCAGGACTCAGCGCAGAGAACGAGCACCCCTGGCCGAGCTCACGCCTCCCAGACGGCAGCCAGCCAGCCTGTCCCACGGCCGGCCCCCCGACCCCTACCCTGTCTCACCACTGACCTGGGACCCTTACATTTTGTTTTGTGTCCCTAAGTGTTAAGGGCTCTTTTTAAAAAGTGCCAAAACCTGGGGCGCCTGGGTGGCTTAGTCGGTTGAGCGTCCGACTTTCGCTTGGGTCGTGATCTCGCGGTTCGTGGGTTCGGGCCCCGCGTCGGGCTCTGTGCTGACTGCCAGCTCGGAGCCTGGAGCCTGTTTCAGTCTGTGACTCCCTCTCTCTCTGACCCTCCCCTGCTCACGCTGTCTCTCTCTCTCTCAGCAATAAATCTCTTTTTAAAAAGTGCCAAAACCTGGGGCGCCTGGGTGGCTTAGTCGGTTGAGCGTCCGACTTTCGCTTGGGTCGTGATCTCGCGGTTCGTGGGTTCGGGCCCCGCGTCGGGCTCTGTGCTGACTGCCAGCTCGGAGCCTGGAGCCTGTTTCAGTCTGTGACTCCCTCTCTCTCTGACCCTCCCCTGCTCACGCTGTCTCTCTCTCTCTCTCCTACAAATAAATAAAAATATTTTAAAAAAATAAATAAATAAAAAAATAAAAAGTGCCAAAACCTGCGAGGTACTCTGGGTTACAGAATAGGTGGTAATACGATTGTAACTTACCTGCTTCAAGCTGATTGTAAGTTAGAACCGTGCTCACACGCGGGAATCATGTGTGCACCCGCCTGGCCAGTAAGTACCAAAGAGCCATGAGACACCCCTAGGCACGTCTCCCTCCAGACCCTCTGTCTCCCGTCCGCCCTCAGATTTGTCTTGAAAATGCAGAAGTCGCGGCCCCGGGCGCAGGCCTGCCCCGTGAAGCCCGAGCCCCCCAAGCAGCCTGGCCCCGTGCGGTGGGTCGGGGTGAGACTCTGGCACGGCTCCCGGCGGTGTTTACATTTCTCACAGATAGCGGGGCGCTCTGCACGCCAGAGCCCGCTCAGGCCCCGCTGCCTCCGGGCCGTAAGTTTCCCTGGAGGTCACCCGGCCGAGGAGCTGGAGCCCTGGACACTCTGTCCGTGAGGCCGTTCACCGCGCCCGCCACCCCTCCCCATGCCCCAAGGCTCCGTTTCCCAGAGTTCCCTGAAAGCCTCCCTCCCCACGGGGCTTGCATTTGGTCAGGCACAGTGGTCACCGGTGGGCACAGACCCCAGGCCCTCAGGGAAGGCAGGCCCCACGTCAGAGCCAGCGCACACGGCACCCGCGCGGCCCGGACGTCCGGCTCCGGCTTCAGCGTCGCCGCTGGCCAGCACGATGGATGTCGTCCACACTCAGGATGTACGACACACCAGAACCTCCGACCACACCACAGTGTCCAAGGTCATTGGAGCACCCAGGACCGCGGGGTCTCACACACGTGCACCAGAACCACGCAGACGCCCTCAGAAAACACAGACACAGGACCCCACCCCAGACCTTCGGAGTCAGCAGGCCGGTGGGGAGACCCGAGCACTGTCATTTTTCTCCAGTTCGCTGCTAGTCCAGGGACCAGGCCTTGCGAAGCCCCGCCTCCCTCACAGGGTCGCTGCAAGGCTCGTTGAGTTAATGCAGCGCCGACAGACCAGACGACAGACGACAGACGGGGACGCTCACGCATCACGCGGTGGGTGCCGTGTGAATTCTCACTTCCCGCCTTCTCTCCTGGGTTGCCCCACAGGCCTGCACACTCCTATCCTGGCACAGGCCAGCAGATCTATCCCGGCTCCCTGCCGGGAGGAGGGGAAGACCTGATGGACGGCGTCCCAGGAGCAGGGAGGAAGGGCCTCGGAACCGCAGCATCAGGCCCATCGACACAGGCCCGGTGAGGGGAGGCCGGGAAACAGCCTGAACATGGGCAGCAGGGCAGCTGTCAAAGCTGCTCACCCCACACGGGGGACGGGCCAGGGTCCTCAGTCTTTTCGTGGTCCCTCCAAGCCGCCCCTGCGCACCTCGCCCTGGGTAAACAAAAGCCAAAGGGCCGAACTCCATGAGCCACCAGGAAGGCAAGCCTTCTTACCTACAGCCTGTCAGGAACTGCCAAGTCAAGGCCACCTCTGTTCATGACCGTCATATGTGTCTGCCTCGGCCCCTGCGCACTGGTCAGTGCCTTCTGGGCAGGGGCCGCACCTTACTGCGTCTTTCCGTGCCCTGGACCTCCCAGAGGGCCTGGTGTGCCACTGGCCTCACAAGCAGGCCTCCGCCCGACCCAACAGCCTCCTCTTGGTTAGGTCCTCTTATGCATCGATCGGGGTCTGAATGCGTTGTGAAGGCAATGACCCTAATTACAGCAAAGCCAGTGATGTGTGCCAAGCGCTACACACAGACCAGTAAACATCTGGAACTAAGAGAGGTGCGTTTCAGCTCAAAGCCTTTCTCAAAACTAACAGCTTTCCCAAAATACCCCATCACCGCCACACACAGCAATCTCGTCTCTGGGCCTCCGCTGAGAGCCCCTGATGTAAGCATCCCTGCGCCCCCACCCCCCACCCCGCGGCTCCCAGCAGGGGACCCCCTGCCACCTCACAGAGCACGTCACTTAAAAGCAGCCGGGGATTTTGAGACGGATCCTTACGCGACCCCATCACGTCCCCAAGAGGCACCAAGCCCAGGGAGGATAAAGGGCTTTAGGAAAGCCACACGGCGTGAAATGGGAAAAGCAGCCGACTGAGAGAAAAAAAAAAAAAAGAATAAAATGTAGACCCTCCTCCTTGGTTCTGCTCACGGATTTAAGGGCTGTAGACTCGACTCCTTGCCGCCTGGCTTCCCTGTACCTTCAAGATAAACCCTTCTTGTTCAGGAGACTGATTTCATGGGTTCTCACTCCTCCTTTCAAAAGTCATGTAACTGATTTGTTTTCAAGGACAGGACAGCTCGTGTATTCTCTCAGCAAATGTTAGGACCTGAGCAAGTGCCACTCTCCAAAGGACACACACCTGGGGGGGCGCTGACAGGCAGTGTGTGCTGACAGCGACCCTTACCATCGGAGGGACCAGGAGACTCGCTGGCCGGCCCGTCCTCCCATCTACACAAGAGAACTCAAGTCGGAGAAGCGAGCCAGCTCACGGGAGGCCCCAGCTTCGCCCGTCCGTCCCTAAGGGACCTGGGTGCGGCTGGATAAACCACGCGCAGCGGTCAGCGCTGCATTCAGGCCTCACTGG